TAAAGTAAGAGTAGTTACTATAAGTATAGTTAGCCTATTTATAATATAAAGTATATAGATATTAGAAATCTATTTAATAGTAGCTAATTAGGCCTTAGATTTAGTGTTAATAATACTAGTAGTTATATAGTTATACTTAATTCCTACCTTATAAAGCTTACTAAGGCTAAGAAGGTTAGCTAGGCTATAAGGGCTATACTTAATATCTTTAATAGTCTAGTTAATTATCTAAGATAGATTAGCTAGATCTTAAGTTTAAAAGAAGATAGTACTAGATCCCTTTAGATATACTTACTTTTTATTTATAATAGTAAAAAAAAAAAAGTTATTATAAATAGTATATAATATAAAAAGTTAAAGTAAGTTAAAGATAAGGCTTAAGTAGCCTAAATCTAGTATAATATTAGATAAAGTAATAATTTTATTACTTATAGTAGTAAAAATAGCCTTACTTAGTTATATTATAAAGCTAGTAATTAAGAAGCTACTTAGTGCGCCTAAGGCACCTTTTATAAAAGCTAATATAAAAGAATTAGGTGTAGTAAAGGTAGTAGCCTCCTTATAATCCTTATTATAGACATACTTAGCTATATAGGTAAGTAGATTCTTATAAAACATATAGTTAGTAAGAATAAGCTTTAGATAAGTAGTCTAACACTTTATAGTAATATAACCCTTTTTATAATAAGAGTAAATATTATAGCCTAACTTCTTAGTAAGAGTATTAGCTGTTAGTACTAGAGGTAGTAGTAACTATAGTAGCTACCTTATAGTAAGTAATAAGGCTTATCTTTTACTCCTTATCTTAAGTAAGTATATAAATAGTCTTAATAACTATAGCCTACTTAGGCTTCTTATTATTATTAGTATAGTGCTTATATATATTAAGCAGACGTATCTTAAAATAATTAAGTAAGAGGATAGCCTAATAGTAGTTAGAGTTTTTACTATAGAGGCTAGTAATATAGGCGTATAGATACTATACGCGTTTAAGGGCATTATAAAGAGTCTTATAATCTTAGGCACTACCTTTAGATAATTTATTAATAAGGGCTCTAACTACGTCTTTAGATACCTTAGGAATATATTTCTTAAGTGCCTTTATTAAGGTGTAAGGATTACTATTATCTTACTATCTTACGTTAAGGAGCTTATTAATTAATATATTATATAATAAAATAAAAAGGTTATATATAACGTTATAGTTAGCTTCTTATAAGATAAAGGCTATAGTGTTTTTAGCTAGTTAAGGGATATTATAGTTAATATACTTCTTAACTTTATTAGTATAGAGGGTAGCACTAATAAGTATAATCTATAAGGACTAGTTTAACTCCCCCTTAAGCTTAAGGATAGTTAATAAGACTATTTAGTAATTACTACTATTAGCTATAATAATAGTAATATAGGTAAGTTACTTTAGACTATAGTTAGCCTAACTATATATTAATCTTTATGTATTTCTTTTACTATAGTAAAAGGCGTATCTAAAACGTTATGTAATTTACTACTGTTTAATAGACGCCTAAAGTAATAGATTAAGGTAGTTAATAGGTAAAGGTATCCCTATAGTAATTAGTAAAGGATCCTTAGCTTAGGCTGTAGTAAAAATAGTAAGTAAAGTTAAGTAACTACTATAATAATTAGCAGATAATTATAAATTAATAAAGATAAGTAAAGGCAACCTAATTAATTTAAAAGAAAAATTAATATAGGCCTAGGCTCTATAACCTATAGGAGCATAAGAGTAACAAAGTAAGGTAACTAGTGTTATTACTAATCTATAGTAGTGTGTAGTAAGGAGGAAAATCCTCCTCTTAAGGCTATAGGCAGAGGCTGGCGAAGAGGTGAGGGGCCCAGGAGGTCACGTGACCTCCCAGCACACAGGCCCCCTCATAACAAAATCTCTAGGAGTAAAGTGCTTTTTGGGAAAGCGAGTCCGAATACGGTCACGCTCTAACTGACGAAAATCTGTGACCTTGATGTAAAAGTGATAACTCCGTTCTCAATGTATGAAACGAACCCTAAAAAAGAACAAGGAGTGAAAAGGGTCATTGCATGCTCATTGACTGTTCTGTGCCGTCCCAAGAGGGTGGTCTGACAGGACCGAGTTTAAAGTCTAAAATTAAATTTTCAAGCAGTAAAGACATACCTAGGTACCTAGGTAGTAAGACAAAAGTTTAGTTAGAGCTACCTTGGCCAACACGCAGGACGGCCAAGGTTTAAAGACGTACGTACGTCAACAGTATAATGGAACTTGGGATGACGTCAAGCAATCTCTGTTGGGGACGTCTGGGGACATCCGGGAACGTTCGCGGGCTGCTTCTGTGCGCTTGAACGATGGTTGGCTGCCTTTCCATAAGCTTTGTGTCATGGTTTGGTGGTGTGTATGTAGTTGATTTATCTATCTGCTACCGGTACTAATGTGGAGTAATGGCCGCTTTACGTAGCCTGTGGGCTTACGTAACACTTTGGCTCGCTAACAATGTTCTTGTCACACCTATCGGCTACTGGATCGAGGAGCACTCAGCAATAGGCCAACAAGAGATTAGAGATATCGTTAGTTGTGTCGCTTCTAGAGGACTTTCGAGCGGTATAGTACTGCTTGGTCTAGCAGCAAACTCTCTGAACGTCGACAGGAAGCAGCAGGAGTCTACAGGTAAGGAAGTCATAGAAGAAAGAGGAATCCGGACGTAGCGGTTAGGGTGTGGTCTTATTCCCTCAGCTGGGTTTCGACTTGCTTGATCGTGTTGATCGTTTAGGTCTAGACGCCGTCCTCTTTCTTAGACACCCCGCCCCTCGGCAGACTCCTTCGCAAGCCTCTCACGCCGCTGCATGCCAGGCAAAACGATCTCTAAGATCCGCGCCACTAGTAGGTGTGTGGTGTTTCATAGCTGAATTAAGGTAATCATTGACGAGGCTCTGTAAACAAGCTTTAGAAGCAACATGACATCATCCTTTCCTAATGCTTATAGGCACGGCGAGGTCAACATTGTTATGGCATAATGGGCACGGTTAGGACACAGCTGTTCCGAAAACGGCAGAGAATCCCAAGTATTATAGCAGACTTCCTAGTTAGGCAATCTATAGACAAACCCTATTCCTATCTATCCTATACAAAGCGACTTTATTACAACTTCCACTACAGTAGCCCTGAGCGCAAGCAGTGCTGAGTACAATACGTGAAGAACCACCCTATTTCTATAATTACAAACCTTTTTGAACGTCTAAACCTTGAAGTCACCTGCAAATTCATCTCACCCAGAACCAGGCCGCCCGCTCGTCTCCCTGGTCAAGGCCTAAGCCTTGCTAACATCAGGAAGCAGTCGACAGGGAGTCCTAGAAAAGGAACAGGCTCTTTTTGTCTAAACTTACATCACTTGTAACCGTCCAATTCGTTACCTAGGTAACCAAGCGAAAAATAATACAGAGAAAAGAAAAACATTCATGCTCATTAGTCTCAGCATGGCTAATACTGCAGAACAGCATATCGCCCATCTCCGGTCCCTCCTGGACACACTTACCACCTCAACGAACGATCTCATCGTTGAACTCTCCTCCTCATCTTCCTCCTCTTCCCCCAAGTCCAAGATTGGGAACGGAGCCACGACAAATCATGGAGATATTCGCGTTCCAAAGGACCCCAAGACGGAGGATGCCCGCAAGCGCGTCATCGCCGCGACAGCCTCCCTTGAGGCAGCTGTCCTCACGCCCCAGTGGCGCCTCGGCCACCTGGCACACAGCTATTTCGTGTCTCGCGCGCTGCACATGGTTGTTGAGTGGGAAATCCCTAAGCTGTTGGCGGCTAACGGGCCTATGGGCCTTGACGCCCTCGCCACTGAGACAGGCGTTGTTGACACGCGCAAGCTGGGACTCGTGATGCGGACTCTGTGTGCGCACCACATCTTTGCAGAGACGGCCCTCAACGTCTTTGCTAACGACGAAGCGTCGACCGCTCTCGCGACAGACGAGCGCCTCGCTAGCTCGGTACGCTACGCCTCCTTCCTCTTCCCCACGGCCGACGTGCTGCCGAACCTCCTCAAGGACCCGGCCCTCTGCGCCAGCTACGCATCGCAAGACTCAGCCTTTGCCAGGAGTATTGGCAAGAGCTTGGGCCAGTTCGAATACCTCAACGCGCACCCCGAGTGGCGTGACTCCTTCAACTTGTGGCTCGCCTCGCTGGGCGAGTACCTGCACGGGCTGACCGACGTTGGCGGTTACCCCTGGGAATCTACGCTCCGAAATGGTGCCGTGGTCGTCGACGTCGGTGGAGGGCTCGGCAGCTCGATCCAAGCCCTACGGACCAACTTCCCCGACCGCCGCGGCCGGGAAGATTTCGTCGGTATCGTCCAGGACCAGCCCGGCATGATCGAGCATGCGACTGCACACTGGCAGAGGACGGACCCGCAGGCGTTGGCCACGGGCGCAGTCAAGCTCACCGCGCACGATTTCTTCCACGAGAACCCAGTTAAGGGCGCCGACGTGTACTGGTTTCGGTCCGTCATTGTTGACTGGCAGGACGATGATCTGACCAAGATATTCATGCACATCAGGGACGCCATGGCCCCGGGGAAGTCGCGCCTACTGATCGGCGAGTACATTATGCACCCGACGTGTGGCGACGCACTGCTGCCAAACGCGCCGTCGCCGTTGCTCAAGAACTACGGCGAGTTCCAGGCCATGGGACTTATCTCTGGCTTCATCCTAACTGTCAGCCCCAACGGTGTTCAGCGCACCATCCATGACGTGAGCAAGGTGGTGGAGGCGGCTGGCCTGAAGATCGTCAAGGTGTGGATTTGCCGTGGCCTGGGACATGTAATTGAGTGCCGGTTGAAGGAGGACGTGTATTCAGCTACTGCGTGAGAGCAGTGTAAAGTAGCTACGTGAGCAGATATTGTTCAGTGAAAAATACGTGCATTTTGGAACAAACGTGGAATCAATTTCTTGTATTCAACCTTGAACTTGAACTTGAACCCGCCATGATGATCATCTAATAATAATCAAATCCAGTATTGAGGAGTCGCGGGTGGCCTTTGCATAGTAAAGTGGATGTCCTGACTCCCCTCTTCGCCCTCACCTAAGTCCTCCGATCCACTTTCCTGCTTCTCATACCTATCTACCTTGTTGTCCAGTGCTTGGACGTCGTCAGTATTGTCTTCGTCGTCGTCGTCGTCGTCGTCGTCGTCGTCGTCGTCCCAGTACCTTCTCCTACTTATCCCGAGCGCCTGGATGCTGCCGTTGGAAGACGGCCGAGCCGATCCAGGCGCTTTCACGGCCTGCGTATCCTGCAAGGTGCGGCCGCTTAATGACGTGCCGGCCCGTTTATCCTCGGTCCACGGAAGCTGCGGCGAGGGTCCGCCAGCAACACCCTCACGACCTTCCTTACCCTTGGCCTTCCCCTTGAGACGATTCCAGGTCTCTACAAGAGGGTTTGTGCTGCTGTTGTCATTCTGCGGACTTGATGATGATGTACCATCTTCATCTCTCCTAGGCTTGGGCACACGGGTCCAGTACAGAGCAAAGGCGGCCACGGTGTTGAAGAGGACGTACATGGAAAGGATTCCCAGGTCACGCCAGCGGTTACCGAACTCGACGTGGACGCCCGCCAGCACCTCGTTCGTATTGCTTGTCAGACAGAAGCGGCAGTCAGCGGCGGCGGCTGGGTCGGCAAGGTAGCCGCCGGCCTGGGCGATATAGGCCTGCAGGTACTGGCCGCACGTCTGGCCGGGCGGCGGGTTCATGTACAGGAACTCGGTCTCAGCGCAGCGGATGCCGGCATTAGCGAGCCCCGTCCCCAGAAGGCCCTCGACGAGGTAGGTGATGGGGTTTACGCGATACACCCATGTCCAGAAGGTAGGCGGCGTCGCGAGGATGCCGTTGAAGATGAACATCATGACGAAGAGGAGGTTGCCGATACCGGCGGCCTGGTCGGCAAGGTCTAAGGCAGCGGCGACCATGTGCGCAAAGGTGCTGGCCTGCAGGAAGAAGACGAGCATGAACAGAAAGGCCAATCCGCCGCGCGAGGCCGTGTCGTTGGTCTCGGCGGCGTTGCGGTAGAGACCGACGAGATAGTACCATGCCAGGAATGCTGGCGGGGCCATGAGGGTGTTGTAGACCATCTCGACGGCCATCTGGCCGGCCATAAAGGCAGCCCATGAGTAGGTGCGTGAAGGCTGCTCGCGACCCTCATAGAGGGTGCGCTGGGTGACGAACACAGGTAAGATTTGCAACATCAGGTTGAAGTGCGTCGTGAGGAACATGAAGATGGCGATGGTCTGGATGGTGATACCGACCTGCGTGTTGGGAAGGTTGAGCAGCGAGAGGCCAATGAAGAGGGCGGCGCCGAAGGTCAATAGCATCTTTGCATAGATATAACTTGGGCTGCGCCAGTAGTGTAGGGCCACGCGCCTCGTCACTTCGGAAAGCTGTTGGGAGAAGGGAGCGGCGAAAGACGGATCCTGCTGCTGTTGCATTGTCATCGTCCCCCTCCGCCTCGCTCTCCCGCCGGCTTCTTCCTTCAATCGCGCCAGGTGGGCTTTGACGTCGTCGTATTCAGGACTATGCCGCCAGATGTTGGGCCAGTCGATGCCATTCTTCTGCTTGCCGCCGGCGCAAACTTGTTCGAGAATGTACTCGGCCGGGTTCTGATCCTTGATAGGCCGCGGAGCGCCATTGCGAATGAAGTAGTCAACAAGAACGTTTGCGTGGCGTCCGATCCGGCCGAAGTAGACGGTTCGTCCACCAGGAGCAAGAAGAAGAAGTCTGTCAAACCGCTCAAAGAGCTGATTTTTGCGCGCATAGGATATCAGCGGTATGATTGGTAGCTTAACAGAATAATAGGATAATATAGCAAACACTCAGGGTGAGAGAAAGAGGGTAGGGGGTAAACTTACAACCGCTGATGGCTGATGGATCGTACACAGAATAGCCTGGCCATTATCTCTCAAGGTCTCGAGCAGAGAGCAGATGGAGAAGCTCGTCTGCGAGTCTAAGCCAGAGGTGGGCTCATCCAGGAACAGAAGCAGGGCAGGACGGGCGGCCAACTCGACACCAATGGTCAGTCTCTTGCGCTGTTCCACGTTCAGACCCTCGCCGGGCACGCCAACGACGGCGTCGGCATACTGCCCCATGCCAAGGATGTCGATGACCTTTTCGACGTAGGCCATCTTGTCCTCGTGCGAGAAGCGGGCCGGCTGGCGGAGGACGGCGCTGAAGGTGAGGGCTTCTCGCACCGTCGAAGTGACGAGATGCTGGTCTTGCTGCTTGACGTAGCCAGTCTTCTGCTGGAACGAGTCATCCCGCGGGGATCCGTCTACGAGCATCTCGCCCGTCACGACGCCGGTTGACAGGCGCGAGGCGAGGGCGTCGAGAAGGGTCGTCTTGCCGGCGCCCGAGACGCCCATGAGCGCAGTGAGAGTACCCGGCTCACACCACCCGTCCACGCAGTCCAGAATGCGCTTCGTCTCCTTCTTCTTGACCTTGACATCGTAACAGACGTTGCTCCAATGGAAAATGGCCGTCTGGCGGTCGATCCCCAGCCCGCTATGGCCATGATCGTGATAATCCAAGCTGCTGTGGCCCTGCGGCCAGTTCCAGGATATGGTAGTGGCGGGGGGATGAGGAGAATTTTTACTGGCAGTTATATTGCAGATTCTTTCACTCTCCATAGTCGTCGGTGGAAAACCCCATTCACCAGTATACTTGTCCGCAATGTTACTGGTCCAATGCTCACTCCCGTTCTTCTTCAACACAGGCGCAGCAGGCTCGGAGGGGAAGGAGGAAGCTATGTACGTGCTCATGCTCATGCTCGGTGTTTCTGCTCTTCCCTTGGTGATATGATCCTCCACGTCGTCTCTCTTTGCCCGCCTTGTCGGGGCTTTTCCCCTGGGGAAAACGAGCACCTCCCCGTGGCTCCTTTCGCTGCTTACCAAGTCCGTGACAACGAGGTGTAGCAGGAGGTAGATTGCTGCGAAGGCAAAGATGATGCCGACGTTCCGCCATCGGTGGCTGTCCTGATACCCAAAAGCGCCGGAGATGTAGGCGCTCCCATCGACGAAGGGAGCTCCGGCGACAGCCCCCTGCGCGGCACACACGCGCGTCTGCGGCATCGCCATCATGCCCGCGTCATAGGTTGGGCCAGACGGAACAAAGGCTGTGCAAGGGAACCTGCGCCCGTTGCCGAACTCGTTGATCATGAGGGCCTCGAACCCGTACGCGACGGGGTTGAGCTTGGCGATCCATGCAGCATAGGGCTTGTAGTATATGGGGGGTACGCCGAAACCTGTGTACAAGGCCAGGGTGAGCAGCACTGTCGATGCTGGGGCCATGGCCGTCGCTTGACTCTTGGCCGCCGAGGCCACGAGGCGGAAGAACAGGCTCAGAGCGAGCGTCATGGCGAACTGGACCAGCACGAAGAAGGCAAAAGCGCCGCCCCCCGCTCGCAAGTTGCACATCCAGTAGAAGACGGTGTTGACGATGATGGAGTTGAGCAGCTTGAACGGTAAGCTCATGGCTAGGTCAGCGATGGCCTCGGCAGAAGCGTGATAGAGGGCGTAGCGAACATGCTTCTCGACAATGGCCCGCTTGGCAAACAAGGCCGATACCTCGAGTATGCAGATAAAGGCGTTGACCAGCGCGGCCGTAAACAGTAGCGTACTGCGGGACCTCATGGACTCGGCCGTTTCAGGCAGCCGGAAGAAGAGGCTAGCGACGATGACGGTCTGGAAGAGGTTGACGACGAGCATCGTCACCGTCATCTGCGGCGCCGCCTTTATCAGCGCGAGGGAACGCCACAAGCACAGCAGAATTTGCCGCGGGTACGAGAGGGTATAGGGCGACTTCCATCGCTGTAAAGAAGACTGGTCGGTCTTCTTGCTGGCAAGGAACTCGGCGTAGTGGGTCCGCGAGCCGGAGCCGGAGCCGGAGCCGCCGCCGGTGAGGCGGAAGCACGCGTCGTACGCGTCAACCTCTTGGTCGAGCCGGCGGCGGAGGCTGCTCGTCTTCCACGCCTCCACAAACTCGTCCGGCGTATGCGGCACCTTGGCTTCGTATCCAGGCTTGATGATACCCTCTCGCCCACGCTCCGCTGGACTGGTCATGGACGTCAGGAAGTCGGGGGTCGTCTGGTTCTTCGGACAGAGGAAGCCCAGCCGCTGGAAGTAGGCCTTGGCCTGGGTAGTCGGGCCAAAGTAGATCTGTCGTCCCTCATAGAGGACGAGAACCTTATCGAAGAGCTCGTAGGCCTCCTGAGGCGCCTGGTAAATGGCGACGGCGCTCGTCATACCCATCATGTCACTCTGGACGCGCAGGGTCTTGCAAAAGCCTATTGTCGTGCTACTGTCGAGCCCACGCGTGCTGTTATCCCAGCACTGGATCGGCGCGAAGCTCAGGGCCGCCTCGGCGATGCTCACACGCTTACGCTCGCCGCCAGACACGCCGCGCGCCGTGTCCCCGTCAGTGCCGCCGACGGGCGTCTCGAGCGTGTGTTGAATGCCCAGCATGGCCATGGTCACGTCGCGCACCCGCCGTGCATACTCGTCCGTCGTGAGACCTCCTGGCGGCGTCTTGGGCGCCCTTGCGCGCGCGGCGAAAAAGAGCGTGTCAGCCACCGAGAGCACCGGGAAATGGACATCCTCCTCGGCCGTATAGATGGCGTCGCCTCGGAAATAGCGTCTCATCTCCTCAGCAGTCAGACCGCGATAGTTGAGATAGGCGTCGCCTGCTACCTGCGTGCCACGCGTGTTACCCGCGATCGTCCGCAGAAAGGTCGAGCACCCACTGCCTGGTGGACCTAGCACGCAGAGCATCTCTCCATCCTTGAGAACGCCCTCAAGGTCCTGCAGAATGCGTACCTCCTGTAGACGCTTCATGCGTAACAGCCCACGCACGACGGCCACGGCCTGGAACCACCACGCGTTGCCGACCGTCGTCTGGAACGCCGTGCCGGGTCCATGGCCTGAGACGCTCAGCTTGCGGAACGCCACGCCCGCCTTTCGCACCTCGCAGCTTTCGGAGCGGAGAAGGTAGAAGGACTTGGCCCACTCCCGGGCGTCGAAGTTGGCGCCAAAGGGGTCGAAGGGCCCATCCCGCGTTGGGGGCTTCGAGATATCAAGAGAGCCGCTGCCAACGCCGCCGCCATTACTACTGCTGGTTCCGCTTCGGGTTGGCGAGTCTAGATCGTTATCGTCGCTGGTTTGATGCTTCACGAGGAAATCCTTGGCGAGCTCGACGAGATCGCTGATGGCCTTGTACTCATCCGCCGAAATATGTACAGATTTATGCCGTTTGCTATTGGTAACCCCTGGATAATTGACGAGCGAGGAACGACGCCGAGTGCGAGGCCTAGACGGCTGCGAGGATGTGGCTGGGGACGCTAGCGATAGTTGATAATGTTGTTGATGGTGGTGGTGACTAGTAGTAGATTTCTGCCTACTCCGTAATCCTAGCCGCTTGTTCTTAGTTTCGTGATTATAATTACTGTTGTTAGTAGTAGAGAGTGTAGGAGCCATGGTTATCATCTTGTTAACTAAGACTTGCAGGCAAGTTCAGCTTGCTTATTTAAACTACAGCCCCTTATGCTCTTTAAGCTAAGGGATTTACAGCAATATGTTAAGTAGAATATAAAGTTTTAGATAATATATGTGACGTTATACCTATAATAGGTAGGCAGTAATAAACGCTAGGGAATGTGTACTTGGCGCTCCCTGCCTCTTATTATCTAGTATTACAGGTTAATTAGAACTAATAAGATGATGTAAATAATAGGGAAAGGAGTTAGTAGGCAAGAGTTTAGATTTTAGTAGGTTTGCTATGTTATACAAACTGCTAAAGGCAATAAATGCGATTCCTAAATAGGATGTCCGGCCTATCCGGCCTATCTGTTAATAGAATGCCCTTGCATGAAAAGCCGAAAAGCGAAAACTTAAAAAAGAAAAGAGCATGGTGTACCTTGCTTTAGACTTTTGTTTAGAGCACGGCCTAGAATCTTCTCTGCTTCCCCTCTTGGGACGATCGGTGGTTCCCAGAACTTCCTAGACTGACCTTTCCCACCTAAACTTAACTATAAGATACTTCTCAGTGGCATAGGCTAGAAATCTTATCCTGCTAGAAATCTTTGTCCTCCCGCCTCGGCTGCAACATTAAGTGGCTTGTCATTTAAGTGCCTGTCTACTAAGTGTCCTATACAAAATAGAGTCGACGTTTCACCTAATTAAGGAAACTTGTCGCAGTAGCTAGGTTATTGCTAGTATCAACGAGCAACAAGTTGAACTCTTTTGAAAATCATTTGGCTGAGAACCCGAACGTTCGAGAAAAGAGAGAGGAGTGGGAACCGGAAGGGGACAGGTCACTACAGATCTAGAGAAAGGAAGACTGTTGTCGAGAGCGACACATAGGTCTGTTGACAAGAGAACAAATAAAACGTTAATTAAGCACTGACTGGCATATTGAACTCGCACAGAACCATCACCTTATGCGCCGCACTTCACCTCGGTCTAAATACTCTGCGACCGCATCCTCCGCCTGGCGCGGGTTGTCTACATGTAGCAGCACGTGGAGGTCCGGTCTCACAACGATCCCTTTCCCCTTCTTGATCTCCGGAACCGCGTCATGCCAAGCTTCCGGCATACCAAGGCCTGCCACATCTATGGCCCAGTCGCAAGACGCGAATACGGGGTTGGCGTGGTGCAACACGGTGAATCGATCGTAGGGCACAAGGTCCAAGAGGGACAACAGCCTACCATCACGATGACCATCGTCATTCTCGCCACTGATCATCCCATGTGGCAGTCTGGCCCCGGGACACGCTCGCGGCACGTATCTCGTCGGGTTGTCGAGAAGGGGCCGCGTGCTCGACGGATCGTCGTCATAGATGAATCCGAGCTGGAGGGCCAGCGAGTCAAAGTGTTGGCTCGCCTCCGCCACTGCTCCTGCCACCCCGGCACAAACGACGGGCTGTTGGAGGAACGCATCCATGGCAAGACCCGGCACTTCTGCCCTTGCTTCCTGGTACTGGACGGCGACGCCCACCAGCGTGGTGCTGACCGAGTAGAAAGCCGCTTCGCTGGCCTTTGAGTACTCGAGGTTCGCGAGTGCGACGGGCCGGCGCTCGCGAGTGTAGCTGGAGAGGAGGTGCGAAGAGTTGCCTTTGTTCTGCATGATGGAAACCAGCTTCCACACCAGGTTGTGTGCGTCGGCAATGCCTGTGTTTAGACCCAGGCCACCTTGGGGCGGCAAGCTGTGGGCGGCATCTCCAACGAGAAACACGCGGCCGTGCTTCGCATCACTGTATGAGCTTGCCACACGCGGGGCAGTCTCCCAGATGGTACGAAGAACCTCGGTGTACCGCAGACCCGGGAGGCAGGCCTCGGGCGATGATCGTGCTGCCGCTGCCTTGCGTTGTTGTGCACCAGCCGACGGCAACGGCACCGTGTCCATCACAGGCGTGACGTGGACGAAGGAGGTATCGAGACGGTGTGCAATAAACTGGCTCGGATGATCGGGGTGGAAGCAAAAGTAGAGCATAGCCTCGCGATCAGCCGGAAGCGCCGAGCGCAGACTGCCCCTGTAGATGACCGACTGATACGCGTAGCCTGGTCCCATGGATTGAAATTCGATGCCGCCCATCTTTTCTCGCACAGTCGAGTTCACGCCGTCAGCGCCAATGACAAAATCAGCCTGAATGCATTTGTGTCGGGTCGTGTCTCCGTCTGCGTCCCTGCGTAGTCTAGTGGAACTGGTGTTGCTGTTGCTGCTGTTGCTGCTGCTGCTGCATGAGACGACGCAGACACAGCCAGTTTCTACCCCCGTTGTCTCCGTCATCATGTTAACTGAATCAACCTGCCACCCTCTCCTGATATGAACGAGCCCTGTCTCAATCACCGACTTCTGGAGTAGTCTCTCAAGCTCCGGCTGTGGCCAGTTTACAAGAGGCTCTGGCGTCAGGCTGCGTACCTCGTCGTCTTGGCGTTCGTAGGGGAAGGAGCCGATCTCAGCGTCGGCTAGACCATAGACAAGACGTACAGATCCAGCATCTCTGGCCCCGGCTGCATATTTCCGGATGTAAGCTACATCCAATCCGGCCTGACGGAAGATTTCGAGCGTTCTGGGGTTGATAGTGTGGGCTTTGGGGTGCTCCGACACGCCGTGGCGCCTCTCCAAGACAATGCACTTAATCTTCTGCCGGGCGAGGAGGTAGGCCGTAAACAGGCCAACCGGTCCTGCGCCTACAATAACAACATGCGTCTTTTCCATCTTGTGTGCAATAAGGCTGGTAAATAGACTAATTGTGACGATTTTGTGTTCTGTTTGTAAGGTTAATATAGTTAGGGTTCTTTAAGCGTAGGTGCAGGGCAGTAGCGGTCTTACGTAGTAAAGCAGTTTAAAGAAATAAATATACCTACTAACAGACTATACTACTGAAAGGAAATATAAGCTAGGATGTCTAAGCACTAATCTAATCCATCTCCTAAAAAGCTTAAAAGAATAAGAAAAAAGTCTTTAGGTCCTAGGACTCCGAGATACGCGTTGTCCCCTTGACACGGGCCACTGTACAGGTCTACAAGTGGCTGGTACCTAACCGCAACCTGTTTACATAAAAGGAGGCCTTCTAGACTGTTGATTCTAGAAGCTAGGAGCACTAAAGTAAGTAATACTAGTACTCTAATACTACCCCTGCCTTTAACATAACCTTTGTACCTTCGCCACTATAGAACATATTTAGTAGACAAAAAGTATAGATAACGGCGATATAGATAAGTAGGATTGTAGAATTAATAGTCGTAAGAAGGGAGGATTACTGCAGGAGGAAACATAGGTGAGTGGTACTTATTAAAGACAAGCTAATAACAAGAGCTAGATGTCCTAACCCAGGGGTTCCTCACGGAACAGCACTACTAAATTGAGGTGTGAAAGCTAAATTCTAGTAAGATACACACATGTTGAATCGAAGTAGATAGACAACCGGGATAAAGTGCAGGCTTAAGAGCCTAAAAGTAGAAAACAGAAAGTAATATAATCTCGCAGAGAGATTCGTTATGTAAAAGACTTAGATTCCCAAGTGGCTTAGAGTCGGTTGAACTGACATCGTCGGCAAGCACGGATGCGGCATTGAGTGCATTCATATAAACAGACAACCTATCGTGACACTCTTCACATCGATAAGTGCCGCTTCGGCTTCTCCATGTGTTGTGTAAACACTGATGGTTGATAACCAGATTCTGTCCCTCTCTTTTAACCCTTCGAGCTCGACTCTCATGACCCAGAAGAAATGCATTTGCGTCCCGGTTCACAATCACAATGGCACGGGCGTAGAGCCGTTCCTTCTCCCATTGATTACATAAGCACGTCTTCCATTTGAGGCCGCACACGTAGCAGAATTGTGTACCGCAGCGACAGGATAGATGATAATGTTAGTCTACTTTGTGTAGTAAGGCTCTGCTAAGTAATAGGACTTACTTATGTAGTTACACCCATGATCTAGTTCTATAATTGTTTGGCAAGAAAAGCATCTTTGCTACCCATTTGCAGCGGCAACCTCTAGCAGGTTTTGAGTCAAGGTATCTCGAGCACAATCTTGATCCCTATGCTTAGCACCCTTACACATGGTGTAGGTACGCTGCCCACATTACTTGCATGTTGCGATGTTGGCTTTAATAAGCTCCTTAGGTATAAACCTTAAGCATCTCAGTATGTAACAATATGTCCGATTTGGCGTCAAGAGCTTAACCTCTTTGGCACAAAACACCGTGAATAATGTCAAGGGAAGGAACTACTAGTAAATATTAATAAGTATAGACGTGTTAAATCGTAGGGATTGTAATGGTTGATTGATTGGTTGTGTTGTATGTTATGTTGTTGTGTGACTATAGTAAAAATCTATAAGAACAGGGAAATCCCCCTATTTCTTAGTTAGGAAATCCTAGGTTAATCCTAGCCATTTAGTTATTAGAAATTACCCTAAAAGTAGGGCAATTTTACTACCTATTCCCTAATAATTTGCTATAAGGTAACTATACATTTACTAGTTAATTTATATGTAATTCTACTATATTTAATACACCCTCTTAGTGTAAGTAATATAATCTATTACTATAGTGCCTATACTAAATATCCTCTATTTATAGCCTATTTATTTATTAACTATTCTTTAATATCTTATATATTTTCCTCTTTTATTTAATAGTAAAGCTTTACTTTATTATTAGCTAGTTTTTACTATTACTTTACTTTAAGGTGTATATATTAATTACTTATATTTAATTAAGCTATAAATATAGTAAACTATAGTATACTAAGTGTCTTTATTAATCTATTAGCTATTAATATAGTAGACTTCTTATATTTAATAGTAATTTTATTTGCTACTACTTTTTAGTATAGCTAGTAGTAATATATATCTATATACTATAGCCTTATTTATAGTTAAATAAGCTCTTTAGTAATAAGCCTAATAGTCTAAGTATTATAATAGCTAATATAAATAATTAGTAGTTATTTATAGCTACCTACTTATTAAGTAATAATTTATTTCTAGGTTAAGTTAATAGTTAAATACTTAGTATAGTAATTAATTTACTAGTAAAAAGTACTTCTTTTATAGTAAATAAAAGTGCTAGTAATTTAGCCTTAGTAGTTAACGTTATTACTATATCTTACTTATTAGCTTACTAAGAGATAAGCTATTTAAATAGCTTTAGTATATATACTTATAAGCTATAATAGTCTAGTAAGTTATTAGTAAATATAACGTCTAAAGTTACCTTTAATATATTATTATTACTACTTAGTATTACTTTATATTTTAGGTAAAAGTGCTATATTTAATAAAAATATCTAAGTATATAATTTATAGCCTTTTATTAAGCTAAACTTAGATTATAATTAAAGTAAGTAAGCTAGCTAGCTTTAAAGGTAACGTCTAGCTAGGTTATTACTATTATATAAAGGATTATTTCTACTTTTTTTTAATATTAGTTAAGTTTTTATAATAAGGCTATATAGTTACTAAGTAGTAGCTTAGTCTTTACTATAAGTAATAACTTATTATATTTCTTATTTATTAGTAGTAGTTTAGTTACTTTATTATAATATACTACTTATAAAAGCTAGAGATAGTAGTTACTTTAATTATAAATTACTTTAAGGCTAAAGAACTATTATAATAGGCCTCTACTTTTAAAGTAGTATTATTATTAAAGGGATACTATTATATTACTTACTTAAGTTTTATCTATATAGCTATATATATATATATATATAGTTATTAATATAAGAAAAGAATATAATATAATTCTTTTCTTAATAGTAATTCTTACTAAGCACTTAGTAAAAGCCTTATATAGTAAGCTCTTTTTTAAGGTGCTTATTATAATCTATTAGGAAAGAAGGAAAGTAGGGAAAATAGTAATCTTCCTAGACCTTTAATTAGCTAAAAAGCTTTTATATTATAGGTCTAAATATATAAAAGATAAAGAAAAAAAAGGTCTATAGAGCTACACGTAGCCGCTAGCGCGCGCTTTTAAGCAGGCTAGTAATTACGTAGGCTCTTCTAGGCCTTATAATTTATAGCGTAATAATTACTACCTATTAAAGAAAGTCCTTACTACCCTTAGTAACTACTATTACTATTACCCTTATTATAGCCCTTATTATAGCCTTTATTATAGCCCTTACTTTAGCCCTTATCTTCTTTATTACTTTAGTTAATTACTAGCTAATTAGTAATTAGATTATCTTTATCTAGCCTACTACTGTAGCTACCCTTACTATAGTAACTACCCTTATAGCTACCTACTTTACTATAGCTGTTATTACTATAGTGGCTGCTGCTAAGGTTAGTGCCTTCCTTTATAAAGTAGGCCTAGTTACTACTAAGACAGACTGTTACTACTAGAAAATTTAGGGCTACCTTTTTACCCCTTCTAACTAGCTAACTTTCTAGTAGTATATAAATAACGTCTTAATAAAGTATCTTAATAACTTTTATACTACTTACTTAGATAATATCTTAATTTTCTTTAAAGACCTTTTATAGTATTAAAAGTTTATTAAAAAGATTTTTACCTAGCTTTATAAAGCTAGGCTATAAGTAAACATTAAAAAGTATAAATTTAAGGTAACTACTACTAAGTACCTTAGGTTTATTATCTTTACTAATAGTATTTATTTTAACCTTAAGAAAATTACTATAATTAAGGATTAGTAGGCCTTAATAACTATTAAGGGGGTCTAATTTTTCTTAAGGTTTTATAACTTTTTGTTAGTATAATAGGTAAGCTAGTCTCTTAGATAAAGGATTCTAGCTTAGGAGAATATAAGAGAGTATATCTCTTATATAAAGATATATCCTATAGAAATAAGAATATAGGATAAAAAGGAAAGTATAAATACTTATACCTAGGGTAGGTAAATAGAGAATATAAGGATATATAGTTAAAAGAAAGTATAGTAGTTAGATTATTAACTATTTACTTACTTAGAGAAAGAAGAAAAAGAAACTAAAAATAGAAAGAATTCTAGCCTATATATAGCTATACTTAGCTTACTAGAATATTCTATACTTACGTAAGCTGCTTATAAATTAACCCTTAGTTACGTAACTTAATAACCTTAAGTAAATAACCCTAACTTAAAGTAATAACCTTATAGGAAAGATAGAGTTAGAAGGTAGGATCTTAAGAGATCTTAGATATTCTAGTACCTTCTCTAATCTTCTGTTAATTACGTAATTAGACATGCTTACGTAATTAATATATATATTAATCTACTAAGTTAGTAGATTATAAATATATATATCTTATATATATATAACCTCTATAATAGAGGAAATATAAAATAAAGAAGCATAAGAATATTAGAGATATTCTTACTTCTAATACTCCCTCTTTTGCTCTATTATAGAGTAAAAGTAGTTAAGTTAAAAAGAGTTACCCTGGAGTTACGCAGCAGCTAGGGTAGAATATTAATAAGTTTAATAACTTATTAATAAAGAAATCTTAATAATATTAAGAAAAGTATATCTAATATATAGATATATTATATAGGCTTATTATTATTAAATAGGCCTATTAGCCCAACAAATTATTAAAATTTAACCTTAGGAAGGGGTTTTATTAAGCTATCTACAGGCATAGAAGAAGTAGGTATATATTCTACTTCTATATTACCTTTTTTAACTTCTTAGTAAGTATAATAATAATATAAGGCAGTATGCTTAGTTCTTTAATAATATTCTAGGTTATAGGCTAAGCTTA